GTCTCACAAGGATTTTTGATATTCCCAGACCCCGTCAAAAAAGAAGATTGAGATATCAACAATCGCTAGTAATTGAAATGAACCCAAGGTGGTTCTTTTTGATGTAATATTATTTGCATTCAATTTTTAATAATTGCCAAATAGATCTGGCCATTTCATCCTTTGTTTTCTTTTCCTTTTCCCTCTCTCTCTCTCTCTCTCTCTCTCTCTCTCTCTCTCTCTCTCTCTCTCTCTCTCTCTTCCTCTCTCTCTTTTCCTCTAGTGATGCCGGTATTCATGATCGTGTTGTCATTATGGGGTTACTGAAAGAAGTAGCTCAATCACACTCACTGGACACTAGCCACAAAGACTTTAAAGGTCAGTAAACTTGCTTTAGCAGTTTATAACTCCAATTTTGATCAGAATCAGCTCAAACTATTCAAAAAATATAAGTATATGCTTATGTACCAGAAAAAATTATAAAAATATAGAATTTTATCCTTTTTAATTTTGGCAAAGTTTGGCTCGAGGTCATGTACTATGTACAGGGCTTTTGTCTGATTTTTGAGCAACTTTAAAAATTTGTAAACGATTCAATTTTGATTGGAATCATCTCAAACTTTTTATGCAACATAAGAATATGTATATGTATTAGGAAAAATTATAAAAATGGAGAATTCTCAACTTTCCAATTTTGTGAAAAGTTCCTGTACTATAATAGTACACGGTCCTGGGTCAAATTTTGGAACAACTTTAAAAATTTTATAAAAATCCAAATGTGATTGGAATCAGTTCAAAATTTCTATACTACATAAGTACATGTGTATGTATCGCAAAAAAATTATAAAAATGGAAAATCTCAACTTACCCTAAGATCTAGGCTGATCTTTACCCTAGATCTAAAATCTTACCCTATTCATTTTATTTTATTATTTTTCTATCACTTATTTCCGTTATTATTATCTCATTTATTAACCTACTATTTATCCCTGTGTTATATCTATTTTGTAAAAAAATTGTTTATTTAAGGGCTCAGTTCCCTTCTACACTGTACTATAGTACAGGGACTTTTACACAATTTTGGAGCAACTTTAAAAATTCGTAAAAAATGCAATTTTGATTGGAATCAGCTTGAACTTTCTACACAACATCAAAACATGTATATGTATCAGGAAAAATTATAAAAGTAGAGAATTGTCTTCTTTTCATATTTGGCAAATTTTGGCCCGGGATCGTGTACTATAGTACAGGGACTTTAACACAATTTGGAGCAACTTTAAAAATTTGTAAAAAATGCAATTTTGATTGGAATCAGCTCAAAATTTCTATACAACATAAGAACATGTATATGTATCAGTAAAAAATTTTTTAATGGAGAATTCTCTCCTTTTCAGTTTTGGCAAAATTTGGCCCAGGAACAAAAATTTTTAAGAATTCAATTTTGATGGGAATCAATTTAAAGTTTTCACACAACTTGAGAACATGCATGATTAGAAACTCTAATTTCTAATTTCTAAACTCTAATTTCTCATTTACTTATTTACTTATTACTATTACAGACACTAGTACATGTATTTTTCAATATTTCTATTACATGATAACTTCTAAGTGCTATTACCATGGAATGTATGTTAGAACAATTATTAATTTTTAACATAATTATTGACACATAAATTATTTATTACTAACATACCAGGCATCAATATGATATTACTATTCTTCCTTAAAAGTTGTTATGATATATTTTTATTTATTGTTCAGTTGTGGTACTGACTGAAGTTGATAGACTCACTAAAGATGCACAGCATGCATTGAGACGTACAATGGAACTATACACAGGAACATGTCGTCTTATACTAGTCTGTAACTCAACCAGTAAACTAATACCAGCCATCAAGAGCAGGTGTTTGGCTGTTAGGATCCCCGCTCCAACCATAGATGAGGTAAGGAATACATTATGTAATGAATAAGAGTATAGATTATACATCAAGGTAGAGGTTTTTGTGGGATTTATTTCTCTTAGTTAAAACTTGATAAGTGGACAGTTTACAATGACAATTACTAGGAGGTTAATAAGTGTTTATGGGTTTTTAAAAATAATTTTATTCAGTGGTATAGAAAACCTACTGTAGGGTGACTAGGGTCGTCTAAATATTAAAGTTAAATAACCTGATTTTATGATAATCATGGGGCTATTGGGCAGAGCCCCTTAATGTTTGACATTCTTCTAGTTTTTAATTATTATTATTGTTGTAGATATGTAGTGTCCTACAGTATGTTTGTCATAAAGAATCATTGACTATACCAGATACACTAGCCAAGAGGATTGCAGAGAAGTCAGAGAGAAACCTTCGTAAAGCTATACTGCTTTGTGAGGCGTGTCGTGTTCAGCAGTAAGGGAATCATGATTGAGACACCAAACAGATCTGATTGGGTGCATGTGTTTGCTACATGGCCAATTAATTATTAATCGTGAGGAACTTGCGAATTCCTTGTGTCACTTGTGTGATTAATAATTAATAGGCCATGCAGCAAACACATGCACCTAATCAGATCTGTTGGGTGTGAATTGTAATGATATTAATTATGTGCTTTATTTTGGCAACTCTTTATTTTGGTGATTTGCTATAAAATTGTAATTAGCGGTTTTTAATTTTGCAATTTTTTGTGTACACGTGCATTACTGAGCATGCGCATTAATGATTAGCCATTTTAATATTGGCGATTCCACTTGCAAATTGTCAAAATAAAACTCCACCAGAATAATGTG